GTGTGTGTGTGTGTGTGTGTGTGTGAGAGAGAGAGAGAGAGAGAGTCGTACCAGAAAAAAAGGGGAGCGGTGTGTGTGTGTGTGTGAGAGAGAGAAAGAGAGAGAGAGAGAGATGTTTCCTATTTCCTATTCTGGACCAGGCCCAACTCCTAGCGTGACGGTTTTTTTTTTCGCTCGCGCTTCCGTTTGGCTTGCGCGCAGATGGGCCATTGGCCAGATCCTCGTCGGTGTTTTGTACTTGGGGGAGAGTGAACGAAAAACAATAATAACAGAAGGCAGAGACATGGTCATTACAGAGTCACGTGCTCGTAAACACCCAACCGAGAGGCCGCGCCGCCGATTGCTGTCTTACCTATTTTGTGTGCATCCCAAGGGCTGACCGAATATGCTCGGCATTACGGGCCGATTCCACCAGCGAAGGCCTGGCCACATCGGCGGCACGGTGCCACTAGCAAGGGGAGTAGTGGCGCCATTCTACCCGTGGGACGAGAACATACGAATCGAAACTGCACTGCGAAGCATTTTGCGATGACTCGGGAACGCACAGCTCTTAGAGCCTAGTTGCACTACTCGCCGATGGGTGTCTAACCGGAGGCCTGGTTGCACTTACTCGCCACAATATTTTTTCTTCTACAGAAAAGTTAAAAAATTTTGTCTGCTGCCTAGGTCTTGTCGAGATAAAATGGAAAAAAACGAAGTCCTTGATGAAGGCCGAATGCTCAGAAGCGAGTCATAGAGTTGGGGCCGCAGGCCCACACACCGCGGGACAATCGAGGGTGGGCGGGACCGCCAAGATCTTGGTGAGAAAAACAACTCGGCCTCTGAGCAGACTTGGTGGCTGTGCTGTGACCGCAGGTTTGCTTATGCGATGGGCGCAGCTGCCGGCGGACGAAATCCCGAAGCCGCTYCGCGCGAGTMGAGTCAGCCTGCAGCGAYCGGTCACGTGCCRGTTACWTATACTCTCCCTGCTCCAGGGTCCAGTGGCGGTCGGTCCTCAGAGGGTCTTCTTCCCGCAGGGTAAGTTCCACTGAGTCCTTTCGTAGATCTTGGCCTCAACACTCACCCATCCGTAAATTCTGAAAATAAGATTTAAAATTAGGAAAATAGTGCCTTACTATTGGAACTGAAGATCAACAATGAGAAGGCCTCCGGGATACAGTTGATTTTTAGGAGAACAAGAAGTTGAAATCTTAGAAAATAGTGCCATCTGTTGAAACTGAAGATCGTCGGTGACGAGGCCTCCTGAGACAGTTAAGCTGAAGTGACCAAAGGAAAAGTATCTTGACAAATGCTTGAAGTGATGGTTGCATCTTGGCCTGTCGAGTAGGTACCAACTAGAAGGGCTTGAGTAGGATAGTTGCCTGATCTCGACTCGTGGAGCCGTGCACTCTTTTTTTTTTTTTTTTTTTTTTAAGCCCTTGCGTAAGTCCTCTATCCTGAGTGAACAAGTTGCAACGCGACGGAGGGCTGCGGGCGCGAGTCCTCTTGCAGCGCTAATTTTGCTGCGCTAATTCTGCGCCGGTAATGCGTTGCCAGGTCGAAGAATGGCGCAGTCTTGAATCAGCGCTTCAAGCGGACTCAAGGCCCCGGGGAAGTACGACGGTTGGCGCTGGCCGCTCTAAACCCGTACCTCCAGGTAGAACTGGTACAACCATCGCCAGGTGACGTCAACATGATGTTCATGGCGAGTTCAGCCGGCATGCTCGGTAGTTTCCGAGCGATCTTCGGTGAAGGTCAGTCGAGCGGCTGTCTCCCTCACTTCATGAAGGCGTGTATGGTATGTGTATGCGATTGGTAGGCCAGTGTGAGGTTTCAAGGGGGTGTGCGCCGGCCTGGCGCCCGCCGTTGACGCAATCATATATTGACTGGGACTGGGTCAGCGGCACTTTGAGGAAGTCAGTAGGACTGGAAGTAACTAGTCGGTAAGGACAACTATGACTACCGTAGGCGAGCTAAGTTGAAGAACGGTATCTTGGTTTCCAAGCGGAGGACAGACAACCGGCAGCGGTGGTAGCCGCCATGTGACGAACCACTTCACGACCCCGTGCTATCTTTCGTACCCTTTTTTTTGCTTGTATCCTACCAACCCCAGGAAAAACCCCGTTTTGATTTATTGCTTTCGGGTGCTGCATTTTCCTTTTTTTTTTAGAGCTTTTTCGACTGCTGAGTTCTGTTTTTCCTTTTGCAAAGTCGGGAAATACATGGGAAATTGAGCGCGCCTTAGCAAGCGCGCAGGGAATTGGGCTCGGTAGTTGGGAACTCCGGGATAAGCGGAACTTCGACGTGTCCTCTTTGGGTGTGTAAATGTTCTTGGGCGCGTCGGGAAAAACTCTCGGAATTTTGCGTAAATACGAATAGGCGAAAGATTTTTTTTTCCCGCGTTGTTTTTTTTTTTGCGCGCGGATATGGTGATTTCAATTTTTGAATTGGAATAGAAGCAAGCTGTAACTGTTTCGGTGCCTTTTTTTTTTTTTTTTTTCGACGGCACTGTGCATGCAAAAGCTTCTTCCTCTCTGTCCCCCGCATCGCTCCCTCCCGCGCCTCCCTTCCTTTCTCCCTCATTTTTCTCTCTCCCCGTAACTATTTTTCCTTCTCCCTCTCTCTCTCCCGCCTTGCTTTCGCACGCCCATTTCCCTTTCTCGATCATCTGAATCTTGGACCCGTCTTGCGCCACCTCTCGCGCCTTTTCTCTTCTCACCCTCTGAGCCTTGCGTACGACGCCCAATCGATCCCCCGATAACTCCCGCTCGCCAATCAGGTGCGTGGATCGATAGGACCTACCTATCGCGCGACGGATCTGATTGGTTGAACCTTGAGTTCCGAGGGATCAACATGGCGTTCTCGAAGCGCTCTTCTCAAAGTTTTATCCTCCTTCTCCTCCTACACCCCCACCTTCCCGTCGTTCTCTCCCCCTTCTATCTCCTTTCTCGCAACTATAAAACCCGCAAGCGCGCCCGCAAATCTCTCTTACGTTCTCAATTCCTAAGCCAACTTCCGGGAAGCAGTGGCTAGGCAGAGTGGATTGATGCGAGTCGGAAAGTCCTGTCGAGCTGACGATAGGCTGGCCGGTTGCGCGCTTGATCGCCACGAAGGACTGTGGGATCCGGGCGAATCGTGTCGAGTTTWCGACAGYGGGGTGACKATCGCAGTGGTGGGAGTTAGCATGCGACGGCCGGGATCGTCGGTGCGGATATGAGGGTTGATGATTGGAGTTGAGTGAGTAAATGGCCCGGGGCCATAGTGGAATTAAACGCAAAAGCGCCCTAGTTGCGGATTGTTACCCTTAGCGTGAGTGTAAGGCGGCGACGCCGAACTTTTCTCTTTTCAGACCTTGTCATCTTCTATTTGACTCTCTCTCTCTCTCTCTCTCTCTCTCTCTCTCTCTCTCCTCTTGAATGATGATGCGTCTGAATGATTGTCCCGCTCTTGAATAGAAATGAGTCGGCATTCTGTGTGAAGGAACTTCTTCCGGAACTCTTCCATTAGTTTCCTGGGTAATCCTCCTACGCAAGGACCCTGTTTTCTTCTCTTGTGAACGGTGGATGTATGTGTATTGAGTGATGCGATCCATCTTTTCCTATGCACGTCTCATTTTTGCACCTTCCACAGTGAATGCATGTAGGGAATGAGTGACTCTTTTGTTGATTAGACGATTGTCGTCGGGATTTTATTCGAAAATGCAAGAGTGTTTAGATCCGTAGCTCTGTTTACACTGCGCATGCCACGACATCAGCAGCCGAGTCACGAGGCGGCCCTGAGAAACAAGGCGCCCAGGGACCAACGTTGTGTTGGGCTGTTTTTGATGACGTCTCGGGATATTTGTGATTGATGGATATGTCACATGTGGACTGACAAGCATCCTTCGACTGGGCGCCAGCCTCCCGTATCTCCCATCCCAACGCGACCTTTTCCTTACAGTGAGGAAAGGACACATGTATGCAAGTGGGACGTACGAGAAGTCGTTGCACGAATCGACGGACAGTATTACTTCCCTCCCAAAAAATCGTTGTTCTGGATTCGTAGATTCGGGCTTTGTTATTATCGATACGCACTTCCCACCTTACTCAGTATTGTTGCCATTTAACGAGTTGATCGTCATTCCGTGGATGGAAGTAGAACCCCACTGGCCGCGCACTCTGTGCACCGAATGTCAGCATTTTGAGCGCTACGAGTCCAGGAGTTTCCACTACCGTGTGCGGAGTGAAGACGAGCATAAAGAAAGAGGCACACGGCTGAGACCATCCATGTCGGACTCGGAACTAACCAGCGAGCGACGACGAGATTTGATACGGAAACGAGACACGCGAAGCGTGCCAAAACCTTTTGCTCCAAACGACGGGCGGTAGCCCGGTGGGAAGCCCGAGATTATTTTTTAGATTGAATTTGGATCTTACTGTGTTCGCGCCACGTCCGCGCGCGCATTCCGTGACGCGCGAAACTAACCAACTTGCTCCATCGGACCAACACGGGGGATTTCAGTTTCGTTTGTGTCCCCACACTCAATTTCCAAAAATCCTTGGCACACCCCATCTTGCTGTTTTTTTGTGGGCCTCTTTCCGCATGACTAACACTCCGAACGGAAGACAGCACAGGGCGTGAGGTTGCGCGTCACATCCACGGTATCGCAGGTAAAGACGAGCAAAGAGGACAGGAAGAACAGAGACATTTGGAAACATGGCGGATCAGGGTGGCCCATCAGACCAGCAAAGAGGACATGGACGTTCGCCACCTGGTCATGTCGACGTACCGCTGTCTGAGGAAGACCGGATGAAGCTCCTCATCTCCAAGTGTTATGACGATGAGATTCTGCCGGAGAAATTTCAACATGGAGAATGGGTGGTGGAAGGTGGGATCCGTACCTTCCTGGTCAATTCTCGGTTAGATGAACTGACGACGAATTCGTTAAAGGAGAGAACAGTAACGATTATATTTCAGGGCGAAGCTAGGGATCTGCCGATGAGGGTTCGATAAGATTTGATAAGGGTCAACGAGAACGGTTGGTATAGACAGAGGATCTTCGACATAAGTACTAAACGAGGCAGAGTTCATGCAGAGGGGCCAAATGTGGTTTCCTACGTGGCTAGATCCAAGGAGATCGCGCAGTGGATGGTGGCGAAAGCAGATGACATATTGACCATCAGGGGAGTGGAGTATGGGATGCTGTTCAAGCCGTGGCTCACCCAGACGGAGTTGGACGATCGAAGAAGGATGGAAGACGAGACTAAATTCTGGGTGATGGCGATTAGGGTCCCCCTAAGAGCCATGTTCCACGTGGAGAGTATGGTCGAAACTGCAATGGGTCACGTAATCAATTGCCAGCCGCCAGAACAAGACCGGACCATACCTAAACTCATGAACCTCAAGTTTGACCTTGTGAAGGAGGCGGAAGGGAATTTCGAACCGGAACTTTCGATTAAACTGGGGCAAGAGGTGTTGCGTATCAAGTTTGTGTGTAAACACACCCCTTGGTGTGAGAGGTGTAAGTGGTGGTTTCACACGACTGACGATGGATGCCCAAGGGCTGATGAGGAGCCAGCAGATGGAGGCAGTGGACAAAGACAATGCCCGACCAACAGCGGATTGGATCCCACACAAAGACTGGCAGTTAACCAGGATATCTGGTTGGCAGCTAGGCACGAGCCTGTCCCTGCTCACAACAGGGAGCAAGGCCAGCTTCCAGCAGTGTCAGCGAGCACAGGGAGAGGTGCTGCAAGCGGTGACGTGAGGAGATCTCGAGTGTTGCCCCAGCCAAGAGGTGTTGGTAGCGGTGTAGATAGCGGTGGACAAATTTCGAGCGACGTGAGAAGAACTGGACATCCACAACAACATGGGGGGCGAGCAAGGGTCCAAGTGCCAATGCCAAGGCCCCCCCCCCCGACTACCAACGCAGCTATGCTTCCGCTGTCAATGTCACAATATCCAGGCCCTGGGAACACCTTCCAGCCGTACGTACCGAGGTGGGGTCCCACACAGTGGCAGGGATATGGGTATCATCCATTTGGAGTTAACTATGCAGAGTTGGGGATGCTTCACCAGAACATGTATGATGCTGGCCAGGTACCATTTTACGGTGCTAACCTTGGCATTGCTAATGGTCAAATTGGGACCACTACCGTGAGGGGAGACAATGAGGACCGAAGCAGATCTTTGGGGCTTCAGACAGGCGGAGCGAGCTTGACTACTCAGGAGCAACAAGCAACTCAGGTAGATGATGACTCTGAGTCAGAAGGAGAGGAAAGTGAAAGCCAGGAGGAGTCGCCAAGGATGTCACACGCAGACAATTACCTGAAACAACGAAGGAATGGACTGGACGCCATATTACACGTACGTGGCATACTCGGGTGCAAGTTAGCTAAGAATGTAGCCGCCACGCCTGGACCCACAAGGATCTGAGAGAGGACATCATCTGAAGCTTGGACCAATGCCTCTAGTGGAAAAGAATCCAGGCCTACTAACCGTAAGCCTGCCCATTGCTCTGCAGAGAAACGTGCATCAATGAAGACGACAATGTACTGTATTGCCCTATCATCTTCTAGAACCACCCAGATCTTTGGCATGTAGAACTTTGGAAAAATTCAAAATTGAAATCTATCAGCAAACAGGTACCTGACTCTGTCAGTGATGAGTGCTGGCATGGGCAGCTCTGACAGGCCAATCGTAGGAAGCGATAGATTTCCCTCCCTGTCTGTCAAGCCAACCACATGGACTTGATTACCTTGAAGCGAGCAGACCAGCGGGAGCAACATGCTTTCTTCTTGTTCCTTGACAGCCCGTCCCAGCACCGAAGTCCCAGTGGGGACATTCCCGAGACATGGACGCTGGCGAAGAAGACACGAGAGCGGAGAATCCCACATCAGCAGGAATCCAATCTGCATCATCCACACAGCACACGAATGGGTAGACTACGAGTGGCCACAAGGAATGTACGGGACCTGGGGGACAGTGCAGGTCATCGTAAAGGAAGGCGCTTTAAGGCCTGGATTCACCAGGAAAGGCTGGATGTCATCATGATCCAGGATACTAAACTGTCGGAAGTCAAACTGGCTCAATTCAGAGACTGGTGGGAGGGCCCACAACTGTGGTCTCCCGCGCGGGGCTCCAAAGGAGGGGTGGCGATTTTGGTACACAACCGAGTGGAAGCTCAGCTGGTGGACTATGATACTGATGCGTGGGGTCGCTGGTGTTGGATCAAGGTGTTGATTGGCAGAGTAGAATGGGTGTTCGCCACAATCTACGCTCCGAATGACATGAGTAGTAGGGTAGTCTTCTTCGAGACGCTGCCACATGTCCTACCTAAGTCGGATTGTCTGATCGTGGGAGGAGACTGGAATGTGGTCTGTGTTCCAGGGCAGGACTCGGAGTCGACTGGAGGCTGGTCAGCAGACAGAGCTCGACTGCTGAGTTGGATGGAACACTGGGCGCTCAAGGATGTCTATAGGGAACTTTATCTGAACAAACCTGGGTACACCTGGTTCGGACAGACTCCACTACAGGCAGGGATTAAGAGAAGAATCGATTTCTTCTTAGTCTCAGAGGAAGCAAGAGGGGATGTGATGGACATAGAAGTTTTGAATGCTTCTCTGTCTGATCAACAACCAATTGTGATGAAGTGCGCAGTTTCAGAAGTGGGGGAAAGAGGTCCCGGGTACTTCCGGTTGAACACGACATTATTGTTGGATACCGGAATCACGACATGGGTGGAGGAATTTTGGGTAGGTTGGAGAACTGCTAAGCAACTGTTCACAAGTACCGCCGAGTGGTTGGACGCAGGGCTGAGGGTCATCTCCCTCAAATTGGACTCCTTCTCGCGGATCTCCGCATACCACAGGAACAAAGAGGAGAATTTGCTGCGGCAACAGGTAGAGGAAGCAGAGAAAAAGTTGGGAGATAATCCTATATCGGATCTGTTCTGGGCTGAGGAGAGGGCACAGAGAATCCGTGAGTGGGATGAATCTCAGTTCCAGAAAGAGGAATGGAGGGCGAAAATCCTAGAGGTAAAGGGGATTGTTTCATCAGACCGGTTGTCAAAAGAGGCCTTCAAACGGTTGTTGCCGAGAAACACTGCAGTCAAGATGAGGGAACTGCAGCATCCACACCTTCTAGGGAAACCCATCGCTGTGGATAACGAAGAAATGTGCAGTTATGCGGTGGATTATTTTCAAGATATTTTAACCACTAGAAGGCCGTTCGACAGTCTGGAGGATAGGATGGAGGTGGAGTCTCCAGTCTGGAACAACTTGGACTGTAGACTGCTAGAGGAAGGAAAACTGTTATGGGCTACCAATAGAATTCTTTCAGGCGTGTTGGGAGGCAGTAGTCGGGGATTTGGTCGTAATGTTCAATGAGGTACGAGACGGGGGAAGGCTAGGAAAGACCATGACCAGAGGGATCATCTCCCTTCTGTTCAAAAAAGGAGAAAGGAGCGATATAAGAAACTGGAGACCAATTTCCTTGTTGAACGTAATATACAAACTACTGGCGAAACTACTGGCAAACAGGCTGGGTCGGTACCTACCGGGTCTGGTGCAGCGGGATCAAGGTGCCTTCGTTCGAGGCAGATCCATCTTCGAGAATGTTGTTACGACAATCGAGGCCCTGAAACTCATCGACAGCGAAGACTTGGATGTGGCAGTCTTGCTTTTGGACCTCGATAAGGCGTATGACTGGGTGAATTGGACATTCGTCCTTTCCACATTCCGGGTCATGGGTTTCGGAGATTCGTTTTGCAACTGGGTCAAAGTCATGTATGGCAAGGTGACGACAGCAGTACGCGTGAATGGAGTAATCTCTAAAGAATTCGACCTCAGAAGATCTCTACGCCAGGGGTGCCCGCTGGCTCCGCTCGTGTTTGTGCTTCATCTGGAGCCGCTTCTCTGCAATATCCGTTGTCACCCGAAGATTAAGGGACTGAACCGGTCGGGGGGAGGGGACAATAAGGTCAAGGCGTTAGCTGATGACCTTTTTGTAATCTCAGTTAACCAACCAACATCTCTGGAAGCGCTGAAGTCGTGCCTCACGGAATTTGCAGCGTTGTCGGAGGCGGCAGCGAACTCGAGGAAATCAACTTTCATCCTCCCTAGAAGGTTCGTGCCCGCGATGCAATGGGGGATGGCAAGGGTGGAAGTAGAGCAGGCAGAACGCTTCCTAGGTGTTCAGGTGGCACTGGGGGACTGTACGTCTTCTCAGGAAGTGATACTGCAGGAAAAGGTATGCAAACGGATCAAGAGTTGGGGAGCGGCGTTCCACCTCTCATTGATTGGAAGGGTATTGGCCATCATGGCCTCAGCCTTTGCACTCTTATGGTATGTGGCGACAGTGAGAAGACTGTCGCCTCCCATGCTGAAAACCTTGAAGGGAGTTGCGCGGAAGTTTATATGGAAGCCAGCAGGAGAAGCAGGTGAGGGTTATATCTGTAAAGTGGTCTGGGACACCCTCTGCAGACCTCGGAGTGAGGGGGGGCTATCCTTGTTAGACCCTGCAGCTCAGAATACGGCTCTCCTTGCTAAATGGGTGGTTCGGGTAGCGGAGGCAGAAGATGGTAAAGACTGGGTAATGCTAGCGAAAACCTTGTTGTCGAGGGAATGGGGCCTCAGACGCCCGGAGGACGTTTGGGTGGCCTTGATGTCAGAGACGTACGCGCGAAGAAGACCCAAGTCCCAGCTGTGGAAAGAGATTCTGCAAGCGTGGAAAAAGTGCAGGCCAACTCTCAATCGCCCACCGATATCGAAAGAAGAAGTCAGACACCAGCACCTGTTCGAAAACCCTCGGATTAAGGAACCGGGTGGGGGCTGGTTCTCATTGAAAAGACAGCCAGGAAATTTCGGACAGAGTTGGCTGCAGAAGGCCCAGAAGGGTGTGACCAAGGTGGGGGATCTGTGGGACGACTGCCGCAACCAGTGGAAGTCCCTCACTCAGTTGAAGGAATCCTTGGGACAACTCCCGCAGCAGGAAAGGCGGCTGGAGTTGCTCCTACAGGCAATACCAGAGGAGTGGAAGCAGCTCCTTGGCCCGGAAGGCACAAATCCCACAGGTACCTGGTTCGTTACGACCTTTGAGGGAAAGGGACAGTTTTGCAGGTTGGAAAGTTGGTCGGGGGAGTGCCCAGGCAAGTGCTGGCCAGAAACATACAAACGTGCCCTCCCCTCTCTTTCTACTTTGGAGAGAGTTGGAATGCGTCAACAGTACGACCTCGCAGGGATGAAAGAGATCCGAGTGAGAATGTCCCCTCCGAGTGAGGAAGGTTTCCCACTGATTCCGGTGCTTGTGGGGAATGGGACCGCTCTGCGTCGTATGAGGATTGACCCTGCTACCTGGGGATGGCGCGTGGGAGAGTCGGTGGTCATGGGGCTGGAGAACTTAAACGCTAGTCTCATTTTGAAACGGAGGAGAGACTCGGAGTCTGTATGTGAGAAGATCAGGCTCCGTTGGGATAGAAACGCTGCACAATTGGCTCCACCTTCAGAGAAGGAACTTACCAAACTCTGGTCGCAACTGCAGTTGATTCCGTCTCAAAAAATCGCATCGTTGATGTGGCTGCAATCGCACTTAGCGGTGCCCACGTCGCAGTGGATTTCAGAGAAGGGTATGGAAGTGAGAACAATTTGCGACAGATGCCAAGAAGCCCTGGAGTCGATGCAGCACCTGTGGTGGGAGTGCCCCAGATCTAGGAAGTGGTGGAGATGGTGGGAATACCATTGGAGGAGATTTGCAGGGGAAGCAGACCTAACTGGGCAGAGATGGGTCCTCACGGGTTGTGTACCGCAGAACCACAGATGTTCAGAGGGATGGGTCTATATAGCACAGGTGGGCAGGGCATAATGCTCTGGGTTATTTGGGTGGACAGGAATAGTCTCCGCTTCCAAGGAGAGAGTTTACAAGAGAGGGAGGCGGAGGGGCTTTTCAAGAAACTTCTGGCAGCAGCCATAAAGGCGGACTGGGCTCGAAAGGTGGCCCAAAGGAACTCCATGCAGGGCCGGAATTGGTTCTGCCGAACTTGGGGATTGGGTCTAGCACATATCTCTCCGGAGGATAAATTAGTTCTGGGGAGATGGCTAGAGGAAGAGGTGAGGGGGGATGAACGAGGCTTGGTTTGAATAGGAGGTTAGTGGTTTTAGTTCTTTGAAGGTTTGTGAGGCGTTGTGGGGCTTGTGTCGTGGTTTTCTTGGTTCTGAACCAGGCGCACTCGGTTCCTGTCGGCGGTCACAGTAGACCGCGAGATAGAGTGTCAGGGGGGTTATGGAACGAGGTTCCTCCCGGCCGCGGGTAGGCTGGGATTCGGACCGGATTGTATTCAAGTCTGTGAATTAGGATAGTAGGGAGGGGGAGGCAGTTAGAGTATTGGTCAGGCTAGGAAGTCCTGGATACAGTAGGGGTGCGCAAAGAACTGTTTGACTTAGCGAGAAGTGGGTGTTGAAGGATAGTGAGAGGCGAAAGTCTTTTGATGTGTGCTCTGAAGCTAAACCGGCTAATGCTGTCGGGATAACTCCGGGTTGAATTGTGAGGTCATCGGCCTCTGCATTTTGTTTCAGTTGAAATATAATGATTTTGGTTTAAAAAAAAAAAAAAAAAAAAAAAAAAGTTTATCCTGGCGGTGGTAAGAGAACCATCTGAATTGAGAGTACATGTTTGCTACAAAGGCGCTGTCGCGAAAAGGGGGGTAGTGTCCTAGCAGGATTGCCCTCCAGTCCCATGGCCATAATGAGCCTGGAACGATGTGCCGGCAGATCCTATCCCACCATCTCCATAACAAGACCGCTCAAGGGCACTGCAGGAAAATGTGCTCAATCGTCTCAGGGCACCTTTTTCCGAGGAAGTTTTGGCGGCAACCCCGGCACCAGGGAAGCGTCCTTCCTTGCTGTTCGAGTTGTGTATGATCGATCGATCAGCCAGTCATTGGTCGATAGGCAGCGATGAGTGATTTGCAATTGAAGGGCGAAGATTTTCGCTGGCCTTTTTTGATACTCGCCGAACCATTGGATAGCTTTGAGTCACATTTAGATGGCGCTGCCATCTGTCCGCCACTACCTCTTTTAGCCCACGCTTGGGCCTGAGCATTCGGTAGACAGTCTTTGTTTTTAGGGTGGCTAAATGGACTGTTTGTTCCCCCCCCCGTCCCTTCCCTAACCTGCCATTCCACGACCATCGCCATTCTTGGGGATCAAAGGGGAGATTCTCGATTGGGCTCAGTGGACGATACGCTCTCCAACCTTTCCCTTCTTCGATTACCCGGATGCGATAGACTTCTGATTTTTCTTTCCAGAAGAAGGGTTGTCTGCTTTCTTGCAACCGCCCTGTTTCTGTGATGGCGTAGCCTTTGATGCATCCTGGAATTAGAAGGGGCAAGGGTGGAGGAGGGGGAAGTCACAGAACAGATAAGGCTGCTCTTCCAGCATGAGATCGCGGCACAATGGCAGAAAGTCAAGGAGAATCTGGATCAGCTGCACAGCAGAAGGGACATTAAGAACAATATTTCCCGGTTTTGTGACAGCTGGCTGGGAGGGGAGAGGGAGGGCTGGGTCGCGAAGGTGAGTTGGACGGGAGACAGGTTGGACCAGCAGAACGAAGGACAAGGAGAGGGACAAGAGGAAGACATGGGAAGAGACTATCACCTTTATTTCAAGGACTGGACCAAGGTGGATCCCAGCGAGCAGCTGAGACCCGCACAGGATTTTGGCGATCCCTTCCCAACCCACCCGCTGGCCCTGGAGGAATATCTTGGGACTTAGAGTTAGCTAGAGTTATCTAACGAGGTGCTGTGTAGAGAAATGCATGATTGCAGCTATTGGGTAGCTCACTTCAGTCCTTGTCAGTCCTTCCCTTTCAGCCTTTTGGCGCTTGTTCTGTAAAGAGGTATTGTGGGACGCTGGACCCGGTTTCCAGCAGGTGTTGCTCCTCGCCTGGCAAAGCCTTAACCCCGGTGGTTCTCTTACCACCACCAAGATAGTGGCCTTGTACAGGCCTTAACCAAAAAAAGAGGTTCTGATAGATCAGGCATGGGACGCTGGACCCGGTTTCCAGCACAAGGGACGCTGGGCCCCTTTCTCAGCAATCCTTTCAGCACTTCTCAGTCATTTCAGCAATCTTTTTCAGCATTTCTCAGCATTTCCCAATCATTTCCCAATCATTTCTCAGACACATTTGATGACTACAACTGATGCCCTGAAGAGAGTAGGTGGACGGTCAGGGCCAGCAGACGAAGGGGGACTTCACTGGTGGCCCCCAGTGCCCCCCCCCCAGTCCCTCGCCCTGCTGTAGGATATGAGGTTGGAGTTGTAGATCAGGTATGGGATGCGGGACCCGGTTCCCAGCACATTGGCGTCACCCTCAATGATGTACTGCAACGATGTATTAAGGGACGCTGGACCCGTTTTCCAGCAGGTGATGCTCCCCACCAATAGATGGAGCGACCCGCCAGGCAAAGCCTCAATCCCGGTGGTTCTCTTACCACCACCAGGATAGAGGTCTTGCAAAAGGGCCTTAAAAAAAAAAAAAAAAAAATCGTCTGAATTGAGGGTTTATCTGTCGGGCTGCTCCATCTATTGGTGGGGAGCGGCACCTGCTGGAAACCGGGTCCAGCGTCCCTTTGATACATCATGTAATACAAGGAATGGTATTTGTTGTTTGCTAGGGTCGCAGCTATTTCTGTCTCAACCTGGGGCTCCATTGTCCCATAGAGTTGCTAGTGTCACCCATCCCTTCTTTGGAGCACCCCATTATCTAATAGCCCAGCCCAATCTTAGCAGCCCCCCTTGTGTGACTATAGCTGTGTCTATCCTTTTAACCCTGTAACCTGTATCCTCTCAAAAGCAGTGTATGAACCATTCGTGCTCCTTGAGTGGATGTTGAGAGGAGACAGAGTTTGCTCAGATCTTTCCACGATGGGATGCCCAGTCCTATCCCTTATTTAATAATGCAGTCCTATCTCATCTGACCTTTTTGCTCAAATATGGTTGTGTTTGTCCGTTGAAACCCTTAAAACCCTATGCCCTCTTAAGCCCAGTGCATGCATGACCCATTTGTGATTGTTGAGCCTTTTGTGATCCTTGAGTAAGTATTAGACTGAAACACAGCTTGCTCAGACGTATCCATGATGAGATGACCAATCCCTTTGTCCTATGAGGCGTCCTCAGGATGGAGGGAGCGACCTGGCCAGTTTGTGTGGGCATGTATGATAGACGTCTATCTTGTGCCTTATCGTCTGTCACCATCACTCCTGCCGATTCGTCTGTTGGTCTGCAAGCCTCTCGCTTGAAGTCTTTGCGCCATAATCGCTCGTGGCCGGTGCCCGTTGTGTGTTTCTGGAGGTTGGGTGTGGGGGGATCAGTTGTTGATGGGATGGCAGGAGTGGTGGCTATTGGGTGTGTAGGGGGGGTAGGGGGCGGCTGGTTTAGTGGTGTGGATCCTGGTCGGTGAGGTGAACAGGCCCAATAGGACTGTGCGGGAGTGGCCGGGAGGGAGGAGTGGGGGGAGGTTGTGGCGACAGTGGGGGGGGTTGGGGTTCATTCAGCAGATCCGTGATAAGGATGAACTCAGGCCGAAGGTAGGGCACTCGGAAATCTTCTCGGGGCCGCCTCTACCAGGTTTGTTCAGTACTCCTCCATGGTTTTCATTGGATGTCCAGTTCAGCATTCGTGTCACTGAACAGCCTGTAGGGGTCATGCCAAATTTCTTTGTAGGAGTGCAGGATGTCCTGCTTGGCCTGGGGTTCATTCTCGTTCTTATATTCAGTTCTCATTGTCTTCCATGCTTCTTGGGTCGCCGACCTAATAATTTCTTCCACCGCTTGCTGGGCCTGTTGCAAGCCAAACTGATGGTCTCTCCTCTCAAAGGAGCATCTTGCTCGCCAGGCCAGCATGAGGATGTTCAACCTTGTGTAGGTGAACAGGTTGATTGCAAATGAAGACCAGCCTGCCAGCAAGTGCTGATTTTTGCCCAGTAGAAGGAGGCCCAAGTCCCATGGAATGTGGAACAGTGTTAAGGACTGAAAGGCTGCGTCCCAACACTGCCACAGTTGTACGACCATGGGACATGCCAGCAGGCAGTGTTCGAGCGTCGCGCAGGCGGGTTGTGACGCCCTCCCACAGTAAGAACAGATGGGGGACAATTGACCTTTTTGTTCTAGGTCTGTTCTGGACACTAGCCAATCTGGTGTTGAAAGGCTCCGATGAAGTATCTGCCATTGCAGCGACCTGAGATTCGTGGGCATGATCTTTGCGTATTTGGGCCATGGCAGGTCGTCCAGCAGGTCCGGGTCCAGGGGAGAGTCCCGGGCCCATCTCTCAGTTAGCGTGTGGTTGATTGACTGTTCCTGGCACATGGCTCGATACCCCTTTTTGACTGTGTAATCCCACAAGCCCATTGGTTTTTGGTTTGGCCAGTCCCATTCCAATGGGTCGAAGGGCAGTCCTGCAATCGATGTTGAGGGTTCGTATGTATATTGCCCCTGTTTGTGGTCCCTCACCATCCTTATGTGCATAAGATCAGCCGACAGCTCCTCGCTGTCCAAGTCGGCATTGCGTGTCAGCTTGGACATCCTTGCTCCAGGCAGAGCTGTGACGCCCTAACCTCACGCCCAGCGCAACTTCCTGCTTTCGGAGCGTTGGTGGGCCTGGAAATGCGAAAAGGGGTGTGCCAAGGATTTTAGGAAAGTGGGGGGGGTGGAGTTCCAGGTCGGAACTGGAATCTCCTGTGTCAAGTTCCAGGGATAGACGTGCAAGCGTCTCTTTCGGCTCAGAGTTTGGGTGATGGCCGATCTGGCGGCCTGATCCGCGTATGGTGTTCGGGTGGGGCGCCGCGGGCGTCCCAGTGGGAATGCTCGTACCGCTGTCGGCCGACGCAGGTCTCCGAGGCGGAGGAGGATGAGTTATGCTCCCGTTGTTCCGTTTCGGGACGGGTTTGTCAAGTGA